ATATATATATATATATATATATATATATAATATATATATATATATATATATATATATATATATATATATATATATATATATATATATATATATATATATATATATATATATATATATATATATATATATATATATATATATATATATATATATATATATATATATATATATATATATATATATATATATATATATATATATATATATATATATATATATATATATATATATATATATATATATATATATATATAGATATATATATTTAAATATATATATATATATATATATATATATATATAATATATATATATATATATATATATATATATATATATATATATATATATATATATATATATATATATATATATATTTAACTATTAATATAATGCAAACCAATACAAAAAGTAAAGCGTATACCATGGATAGTTTTATCATATCAGTAAATAGAAAACACATATCAGTAAATTGTAAATAAAAAGGAAATATGATTCTTCTTTAGTATTGTTACCTCCAAATTTTGTTTCAATTTTAATCACAATATCTAATCGATTAAAAGCCATTAATTCTTTTTTTAATTGCTCCCATAAAGGATTTCCAATTTTTTGCTTCCATTTCTTAAAAACATTATCAGCTTTTTCATAACAATTTTTGTTATCAGAACCAATGTTATCAAGATCTGAATCACTTAGACCGAGGTGTCTTCCCCATCGCAACCAATCACTTCCAATATTATAGCTTATTTCACCACAACATTTTGAAATAAATTCATCAGAAGCCAATTCATTTCGAGACACTAAACATAAAAAACTTAAACTTTAAACATGTAAAAAAAAAAGGCAAACAAATTAATAAAAACAAAAAACAAAAGAAAAATTGGTGTTAATAACTGTATTTATAACCACTAAAGTCAGTCTTTGAATCCAAATTTATAATCCAAATTTATAATCATATCAGCTACAGAGATAAGTTATCAAATTTTTAAATCAGTATATATTCTTAAAAAAAATAGTATAACAAATGAGCTTAATGTCAAGAAGATCATTAAACATCAATTGGAAAATAATGTATTATAAACACATCGAAGTCATTCTAATAGATGAAGAAGGGGAACAAAGCTGGTCAGCAGATATAATCTGTTTACCCAATAATATGCATATAAAATATATAAAACTATAAAATGTAATTGGTTGATATGTACTACAATCAAACCATTATTAGTGTTACAAACTAAAAACTAAATCAACTAAAAACAATTTTATTAAAACACATTGGTTAGGAAGGTTTTTTAAAAGGAGAAAAAGATGGTCACTAGTATATTATACAAAACTATGCATAAATTAATCATGCAAAATTAAATAAATTATGCTTAAAATAGAGACACTTTTTTGAGTTTTAGTAGGGAAGCAATACCTGTTTAAGTAAAAAATTTTTTTTTTTTTTTTATAGGTATTGCTGATAAACTAAATTCAAATTTAAACATCTTCAAATAATTATTATGCAGAAAATAATAAAGAAAAATTAAATCTTTAGTTTAATTTTTAGCTTATAAAAATAGTTATATTTTTTTCTTTTTTTTTACTAGTTATGTTGGAGAATGAGAAATGCAAAACTTGTGGGCTTTAATGCCTGATGAACATTAGTCACCAACAACAACGATATTGGCTGAAAGATAAAAAGAAAGGGATAGGTAAATTTAATTAAAAAATAACATCAAAAAAAGTCTTGAGATAAAGGAGAGTAATAAAGAACAAAGTGAAAGGTAATAGAGTGGTGGTGCTTAACAAAAACACATAAAAGAATAGTCTGTTGATTCAAACCTAGTTTCCTGACAAATAGATGAACTCTTATCAATGTAAATGCCCAGGCCTAGCATGTGACAATTGGAGCTTAAAAAGTTAAAAGAAAATTATCCAAGCAATTATCCAAGCAATTTTTAAATTACTATTAATAAATCCTGTCATAAAAGCAATTTTTAAATTACTATTAATAAATCCTAACGTAAGAGGGTCCAAATGTGGCCTCAACAATGCACTTCAAAATTACAAAAAGAGACACCGTCTATATGCAACATTGAAAACATTAATTCTCTAATATTTTACAGCTGGTAATGGAATCAGCCTCACTGAGAGCTACCTCAGAGTTTAGGAAACCTGAGTACCAGCCAGCCTCAGAACAAAAAAACTTTAAGAGATTTATTATTAGGAGATAATAGAAAAAGTTGTATTATAAACATATCTACACCAGTCTAATAGATGAAGAAAGGAAGCGAAGTTGGTCAGCAAATAGAATCTGTTTACCCTTTAATATGCATATAAAATATATAAAACTATAATATACAATAAGTTCTTTTCTGGTGTCAGTTTGATTTTGTAATTTCAATTTGAGTTTCTACTTGATACTTGTGAGTTTTCAAATTGACTTGAAGAGTTTTTTTTTAAAAAACAATCTGTTTGCTCGTATTTTTATATAACTTTTTAACTAATTCACTTTTAACAAAGAAAGAACTATTAACTATAAAGTTGAGACTTAATATAAACTAAGAACAGTGTTAAAGAGGAAGGAAACAGGTATACAGAAAAAAAGTTGAAGGTTACAAGAGTATAAAAAACATATTGGAGAGAGTGGAAATCATTGAAGTGCAAGGAAAGAAACTAGATATATAAAAGATTTTTGATCAGGAATGAACAGAGACAAAAAAGAAGCAAACTTGATGAATAACAAGTCAAGTTGAAATGAGTGTTTGTTGGTAGGGCTGAATGCAAATATTTGTAAAAAAGTAAAAGAGATGCAAGTTTAAGACAATGGAAGAGTGGCTCAACCTTAGTAAATAGAGCAGGTTCAACTAAGTTAATAATGTCTTTTTAGACCTTGTTTAAGAAGAGAAAAATCATAGTTAGAAGAACCAGCTTTAATATTAAAACAGAATTTAAATACAGGAAGGTTTTTTCACCCCGTTTTTCTCCTATTAACAAATTTTCTTAAAGTACAATTAATATTGATAGTATTAAAAAACCTTTCATAAATATTAAATGAAGCTTTTATATTAATAATACTATTTTATATTGATAATATTTATATTATTATTTTTAATACTTCAGCAAAAATTTTAATCAATAATTTTACTTAGTGATGTTATGTAATCTTAATGATGTTTTACATTTACATTATAATTATCTGAAACAAAAATTAAAGATTAAAACTTTAAGATCATTTTTTAATAACTAAACTAATGCCATTGTTGAAATAGATGAAACTTTTAAAAGATATCAATGCTAGGTGCTATCTGTACAACAGTTAGTTAGGTAACTATATGTACAGTCATCATAGCTGAATAAAATATAATTTCTTTCACACTTAGTAATACATTATAAATCAATATTAGAGAATTATAGTTATAAAATTATAAACTGAACCAAATTACACCAGAATGGAGTAAAAAAGAGCTTTTTTTTTTTTTTTTTTTTTTTTTTTCAAACCTTGAAGTGTCTAAAGCAATTTTTTATTACACCAAATGTTACTTATAATAATTATAATAATTACCTAAAGTCATACTCTGCGAAACAACACTTTAATATTTAGAAAGAAATGTGTTGTTAGAACTGCAGAGCTTAAAGAGTATGAATTAAAGCAACTAGCCTTGTGATTTGTGTTGATAGTTTTTGCTATTTACTGATTGTTAGGATTTCGCTATTATATCATTTGTCGATATATAACTTAAAGCTTTAAATTAAAATCATTAAAATAATTAAATAAATATAAAAATAAAAAACTAAAAAAACATATACCTTCTGTTTTAACTAAGCAGCTAAATAGACCATTTTCCATTTTTTTGTAGAAACCTTTAATAAATCATACAATAAACTTGTACAAAGATAAGAAATAAGTTAATACCTAGAAAATATCTTTATAAAAAAATACATAAATATAATATATACAGACCCATAGTAAGGTTAATGGCTTTTAAAAATGCTGTTTTAGTTACTTTTAGAATATGTTGTTCAATTATTCGATGTACGTAATGATCTGTTAAATAAGTATTGTATATAGACATATATTAAAAAATTAGTTTTTATGGTTAACTATTTACTGAGATTTCATTTATTAGCATTAAATGCTGATTAGGGATTCCAGAATCATACAACCTAAGTTCAAAACAAAATATACAAAAAAAAAAATGATTTTTACAAAATTAACTTTTTTTAGTACTTTCATACACAAATTTATGTCTACACCATAAGTCATTTTATTTTAAGCGATTACTGTAAAATTCTAAATCTCCTTTTATTGAGCTATGAACAATCAAAATAAAATAACTTACAGCAATTCTTCCTTAATTTAGTTACATTAACATAAAATATAAAATAAAGGAAGCTAAAATTTAAATAATCATAAGTTCACTATGAGAAAAGCCATAAACTTTAACAACCTTACTTGCATTTTAGTTAGACCCCTTGCTCTACCCATGGTAATAATCTAGATCCCCTACTCTAATCATGGTTGTAAATTTAACAAATTTGTTAAGATTTAACAAATTTCCAATGTTATAAATATTTCAATACTGTCATTCTATTGATGATAACTAAAAATAACAGAAATGCTCTTATCTGCATTAGATGGAATAGGTGAAGTGAGATTTAATTGCTTTCTTTATATAACAAAAACTTGTAACAAAGCCTAGCAAACTTGACCATAATCTTTTTCTTATATTTTTAAACTTTTTGTGTCAAATTTAAGTTTTAAAACATATAAATCTTTATTCTCTAACTGCTCTATATTAGTTTTATTTGCTAAAGATACTACGATACAATCTAAATATATAGTTGCATCGATGAAAATCCAGTCTTCATATAAAACCATAACTTATTAATTAGCTAGCCTGAATACAACAGGTAGCAACAACTTATCATGAATGTCATCTTCAAGTTTACTTTTCTTTGTCTTGTTCTCTTTTTTTTCACTCCTATTTCAAATTCCATTATGTTCTTTCTTTTTTAAAACCTTATTAAAAAAAAAGTGCATTAACATATTTAAAAATAAGGTGAACTAGCTTGCATTGAAGTTTGATAAAGGACAAATCTCCTTTTTGCTAAAATTCTAAATGAAATAACTTACTTTATATTATAATAACAAGAGTCACTGATTTGAAACTAAATTTTTTAAAATTTGATAGACATAAAAGTATATTTAAAATCACTAAAATTATAAATTACAATTTTTATAAAAACTTAAAAATCAGAAAATTAAATAGTAAAAGTATTCTCTAAAAATTTATTTTATTTCAACTTTTATTTTCAAATTAAAATTTTTATGATTTAAATGTGCTAATTCTAAACCTGTAACTTCTTTTAACAAATTTATATTTGCTATTTTTTATTATCAATTTAATTTATTTAATTTTTTTTTAATTCATTTATGTTATATTACATTACATTAGCAAAATATTTGAAAAGTCCTGGTTATATACAATTCAACAATAAAAGAAAAGGTTAAACTGACAGAAGAAATTAAAAAAAACTACAGTTAGAAAGCTGTCACTGCACTTTGATGGTATTACTCAAAAAGACTATTAAGTGTTGAAGGTTTAACAAAGAGAAGATAAGTTACAAGAACTAGACAATTTAAAGTCGTCACAAAAACTTATTTAATTTCTACCAGATGGAATAGCAGATATTGTTTTTAAAAGTATAACTTCTATTCTTGATAAATACAATTATTTTTTTTATAAATAGTATGTAATTTTTAATTTTTTAATCTGTTTTTAAAGTTACTTAAGCGTAATTTTTTCATGTTTTACTTAATGAAACATATTCTGTTTTGTAGTTGATGCATTAATTCTTGACAGGCTGTTAATTTTATAGACGCTAAAGATGACCTTGTTTTCAATATGACTATGGTGTTTTTTACTTTTTATTGGTTTTAAATAATTTTATGTTAGAATAGCAGTCTAACATAAAATTATTATAATTTTCAAATTATTATAGACTAACAGTGGAGTTAAAGTTAGAAAGGGGAAAATACTTATCTACAATACAAATCAAAGGAGTAATTAAATGTTTTTAGTTAAATATGTATATTTTTATAAACTTTTTTTGTTAAATTTTATTTGTAAAAAAATACCAATTTTGTTTCTTTTTTTTTTTTAATATCAAGATATATTTATAAAAAAATTTTGTTGAAAAAGGTGTACATTCTGCTTCTACACTAAACACCGTCAAAATATCAGTCAGCAGAACATGTAAAATATTAAAATAATTTGCTGCTGTGACGGTGTTTATGATTTTCCATGTCAGAATTATATTATATTGTCAGTTTAGTTTTTGTGACGACTTTAAATTGTGTTTAATAATTTTTATAATAATCAAAAATAATCACTAAATTAGGGGGTGTATCTAATAAATACTTACAATAAATTTGTGAAAGAATTTTTTGACAGCATATGTTTTTTATTGATGTCTTTTTATTTGTTCATAAATTTTTACATTATTTTTTTGATCTTACTCATAAAAAAGTATAAACATTTTACTGTATTATTTTCTTTTTTATAGAAAAAATTTTTTACATGCAAACTTTAATTTTCTTTAAAACTAATAGGACAATAGTCCTTATAAGCTGCACATGGTCTGAAAAAAAATTAATGAAACTTAATAAAGCAATAAATAATAAGGTTCATCCCCAATTGAATGAACAAGCCCAAAAGTTGAGAAAGTTCTTTCAATTTAAGCACTAGCTGAAATTGAAATTGAAACTGGTGCAGTTAACAAACCTTTAATATCCATAATAATGTTGCAGTACAAAGTTTTTATCTCCACCATTCTATTGGTGAAACATTATTTAAAACAGATAAAACATATTTTTTTTCAGTTGATAAAAATGAACATCAACAGCGCCCTTATTTTTGTTTGATCGTTTGCAACTTATCATGAGCAAATACAAATAGTTTTAATATTTTTAACAAAAAATTATTTGGTTTAAGTTGATATTTTTTTGATTGGTTTAAACTGTTTGGTTTAAACCTAGCAACCCTGCAACACACATTTCTTTATCATAACTTTAATTGGAAAGTTTATATAATTTGAATTTTTTAGCTAAATATAATGATTTTTATAGCAAGGGTGATTAAATAATGATGCATAAAAATCATATCCAATTAAATAAATTAAATCAAAAAATTAAAAAAAAAAAAACAATACCTTATAATTTAAACTTTAAAGGAGGCCTGGATCTAGCCTGCTTAACAAATATTTAGGTAACACCAGTTACAAGTTACAATAATAAACTAAACAAAATAGCATCAAACAAGTTCCTTTTTGATCAAACTTTTGAAGAAGTTGCAGTTTGTGCTGACAATGTTAATTAGATAATCAATTCCAGTTAGTATTAATTTTAGCATTAACTTGTGAAAAAAAATTGAACTTCATTCAGATCTTTCTGTGACTTTGGTTTGTAATTGATTACGCCTACTTGGTAATTTTTTGCATTATTTTTTAACTTTTTTTTAACATACTAACTTTTGGCAACTACATACTTTACAAATTTGTATATATAAATCAAACCATCATGGTCTTTTTAGTATTTTAATGTATGTTAAATCACTCAGATAAGGCAAAAGGTGATAAACTCAATTACTTAATTTGGTGTCACTAGCCTAATAAAACAACTATATCCAAAAACTATAATTTTTCCTGCTGCATACTTGACTGGAACCTTTGACTTATTACCTACTAGATATGCGACCTTTACATTTGCTGTTCGGATTTAACAAATTTTCAATGTCTTTTTCTTCATCTCAGTAATAACTTGTGTAACAACAATGTTAACAATTTCATATTATATCAATCTCAAATTAAACAATTTCATATTATATCAATCTCATGATTATATCATGATTTGTTATACTTATGCTGCTCAAAAAAAAATCGCACACTGTTTTCAATTGAACAAAAGTAATTTTATTTAACACATAATATTTTTGTTTAAAGCATAAGCCTTTAGTTTGACAACCATTTGTTTGTGAGGAGTAGTGATGAGTTTACTTACTTAGAGTAAAGTTACTTAGAGTAAAGATATTTTGATTTGCACTTTTTAGGTTTTGGCTGTTAAAATAACATCAGAAATCACTATGTCTCATAAGGTGATTAAGTAACAAAAACTTGCAAGTTTTTTTTATAATCTTATTTATATATTGGTGATATATGGATATTAGGGTAAAATGAAACATTTATTTTTTTATTAGTCAATTTAAGCTAGCAATAAGCCTTAGTCTTAGACATTGAAGTTATTTTAATTACTACACTTATTTTTCATTTGTTTTGATTTTTTTTTTTTTTGGATTTTTCTCATTTTTCTCAAGAGAAAGAACATAACCATTTCGTAACAATTGTTATAAGTCTTGCTGAAATTAAATATTTTTAATACACTTGTTCTTATTGTCTTCAAGAATATTCGATGATTTTTTTTTTTAATTTTATACGAGTCTTGACATTATATGAAACTTTTGTTTTTAAGAAAAAAGTGTTCAACCTAATGCAATAAAATGTTGTCAAACACTTGAAAAAACCTTAAATTACAGAATATTAATTTAGTTTAATAGAAAAACTGAAAGTCGATTAAAAAGTGGACTCAAAGCTATTCTTTACCTTATGTATACTTATGTTAAGGTTTAATTATAATATTTCAATATTATTTAGGGTATAAAAGTTTATAGAGTTATATATAACTAACAATAACATAATAAAATTTGCTTTAATAACAGAGCTTATATATAAGCTCTGTTATTAAAGCAAATTTTATTATTTTAATGTTAAAATAATATTATCATTGAGCAAATAAATTTAAATTGTTTATCTAAAACTTACAACTTTCCAAAATTCACAATGTTTCAATATTAAAAGCAAGCACACTTGTTAACTTAACTTTCTTTTGATGCCAAATGGAATAGAAAATCATTAAAAAGTAGTCTATTACACAATCACAATTATTATTGGACGTTAAAATAATACCACACACCCATTTATTGAGTTAGCATTCTTTAAGATAATCCAAAGTGATAGTTTGATTTTTTTAATAAAACGCAGACATGATATCATTATCTTTTTAGACTACACCTTTTCAAGATGTAATTGAGAAAACAAAAATTGTAATTAAGAATCGTAAGATGTAATTGAGAAAACAAAAGTTGTAATTAAGAAACGTAAGATGTAATTGAGAAAACGTAAGTTGTAATTAAGAAACATAAGATGTAATTTAGAAAACGAAAATTGTAATTAAGAATCGTAACATGTAATAGAGAAAATGTAAGGGTAGAAACATGATTCCATAGCGTAAAGTTAGGTGACGTAATGTTTATTTTTTCGCGAATAATTAAGTATTAAAGATGCAAAAAGCATTGTTAAATTATTTGTTTTATGCAATAGTTTTATGTGAATATTTAATTATTGGTCATGCGTGGTAAAATGTTTTTATCAAATAGCAACTCAATACAAAATTTGTGAAACATGATTTTATACTATAATACAAATGTTTTTATACAATTTATATTTAAATCATGATATAAGAATATTATTTGTGATCATAATATCAAAAGGAACCGCGATTGTTAAGATATTTTGATAATAAAGAAAACTAAATCATAACATGTTTACTGTAGTTGGTTTGTTTATTAGTCATTTTGTGACAAGGCCTTCTTAAACAGGCCGCGACAGCTCATTTTCCGTAAAATTAGCGAAGGCCGACTTTTTTACGGTTAAAATTATTTTTTATCTTTGCTTTTGTAAACAAACTTCAGAAACAAATAAAGAGCTTTATTAGGACAAAACATATTGATTGAATTTCGAAAGCAAATATTGTAGGAATTTTTTTTACGTTTAGAAATAAATTAATTACAATAAAAATTTAAGGAGTTTAGCTAAAAATGACTAAATCTCGTTTTTATAACTATATGTTTATTTTAGCTGTTTAACACTTGTAATACAAATAATAAATTTTTTGATAAAAACAAACAAATATATTAACTTTATTTTATTAAAATTATTTTGACTTTTTTGACTCAAAGTATTTTATTTTGAAGTTGAAAGTTTTGCTTGTTTTATTAAACATTCCTTCCCAAAATCTTTAGAGTGTTTTTTACAATAATTGTTTAAAAAAATGTTTGCCAAAATGCAGCAAACTTTTTTAACACTTTGAACAAGCAATTGAAATTTACTATTGCAGTTAATAAAAATGTCAATTAATCCTTTCTTGCACAGCAATGGTGAAACTTTATTCACAAGTGTCACTTCAAATATAAAAAAACAAAAAACAAAGTAGACTAAATTGTCAGAAGGCTTCCCCTGTTCAAAGAACTGATCAAAGTTCCATATTTTTGAAACATATCAAAGGTGTCTGTTTCTTCTAAAATTGAGTGTAATTCTGGAAGTTTGTAAGCAATAAAACCTGCAATATATAAAAGCCCTTGTTTGCATTCATTTGGCAAGTGATCCTAACAATTTTCACATATTGACATATTAAACTCAACATAAAATTCACACTTATCACAGTGGTGGTGAGCAGGAGGAAATATTGTAAAATCTGTATGTTTGTCTAGCAACTTTCTAGTTTTGTCGATTCTAAATTTTTGAATATCATTTTGCACAGTTATCAGATATGTGCTACCTGACCCTTGCCGATATTTCCCAAACTGTTTTTCTAGTGCATCTGATTGCATATGTCCTAACAATACATAAGATACACCGCAATTCAACAAATACTTGGCACAGCTTGCTAATCTTTTAGAAGTTTTTTGCAAAACACTTGCAGTATCCATTGTTAACTTTTTCTCTCTTAATTTTGAATTTACACATTTCAAATTTTCAGCAAAATACGAAATATAGTTCACTAAGAAATCTATTTGCCAATCATTGACTGAAGAAATAGGCTTTTTTCGAATATCATTTAATCTAATATCTAGGCCTTTTGCTTTACTGTTGACAATAAGCCACCACTTAACAACTGTTTCAATAAAAAGTGCAGTATCTTCAGCTTCAGGAAATTATGCATGTAATGCTGCAACTGTTTCATCACAAAAAACTTTAAGAACTAATCCAACATTTTGTCGCTCAATCGGTTTTGGTGACACAGCATTTTGTGTTAAGGGTGACAACTTAACTATTCGACTATCTGCAGCATGAAGTTGAATTATAAATTTCCATTCTGCAAGTCGCACAGTATCGTTATCATTTAGCAATCTATATTTTAAACATTGTAATTGTTCAGTGATCTAATTATTTCGAATACATTTTAAAATATGCACAGTGTCATTTAAAAGATAGTATGCTGGAACTTTTTTTGCATTAAAAAATTGAAATGTTTTTTGGTTTACTCAACAGTTATCCATTATTAACCCAAGAGGCTTTCCACCTGCAATTATGATTTGTTGATTTATCTTTTCTATCACGCTTGTTTGAAAATTTGTTGTAGAATTTGTAGCAAAACAAGCTTTTCAACGAGATCAAAATATACTAAACGAGATTTTGAATAAAGATGCAATGCTTCAGAAATGTCTTCTAAAGAAAATGGTGTATTGTTTGTTTTATTTAATAAAGCTACTTGATGCCTAATATAACTTGCTCGCTTAGAATCTGTTTCATTATTAATAATATAACTAACAGCATTCTCCAGTTGAGAATAATATTTATTAACTCCTTTTTTTAAAAAAGACAGTTTAATTTGTAAAAGTTGGCTTTATACAGTAAAATAAATATCTCCAGAATCTTCTAAAGTTATATATATTGAAAACTTAGGTACTGGTCCACAATGTTCATATGATATTAAAGATATATTTTTTTCTTTTTCAACAAAATAAAATTTTTCTTCACAGTTATTTATTATTGACTTTAAATTTTTAACAATTAAATTAAATTTAATAACGTTCATTTTTTTGAAGTTTTCGAACTCATCAGGTAAATTATTTCTTTCAGAGCATATTAACCCAGTGACATCTCGTTTTCTAGACACTATTGGAATACAAGACACTGGTATACCTTTAAAGACTGATGGAGGATGCACTGGAACAAAACTACCACCTTTGACTTTTTTTAATTCTGCATCTTTAGGCCAGTGCTGAGCACAAATTAGCTTATAATCTGTAAACACAAAGTTTGCATTTGGAAGTTTTTTAATCCATAACTTATAGTTTAAATCAAACAACCAAAATCCTCATTGAAATTTTAATTCTCCGTAAAAAAGTCGGCCTTCGCTAATTTTACGGAAATTTAGCTGTCGCGGCCTGTTTAAGAAGGACTTGTTTTGTGAGGATGGCTAAGGAATTATTTCTAAAGTTATAACAAGCACATTCTTGAGTTTTATCTTTATTTTTTAATCTTAGTGCTTCTATTATGATAAGAAACTTTATGCAAACAACAACAACAAATAAAAGCAATAGGAGCAACATTTATTTTATAATAACAGTAATAATAATGAAAATAATAACAATAAAAATACCTATAATATCATAAATAATAAAATCATAATATCATTATATTATCCAGGTTTATACAATTGTAATTGCTATCTCTAAAGCTATGGTGATGGTTTATATTTTAGCCAATTTAAAAATCAACCTGTTATACACAGGGTATATACAAATGAAAATACCATATTGAATTCTGGTGTATTTTTGAAGAACATTTTTTTTCAAAAAGTATTCAAGTTTTTGTGTGCAAGAAAAGAAAACTAAAGATTTTCAAATTAAAGAAAAATGTGCATCATGTTTTCGATAATATTTTTGTGTATCTTTTTACGTAACATGGTTTGATCAATTTTTACAATGTTCCCCATCTAAATTGGCAGGAAAAAAGTTTATAAAAAGTATACAGTTTTATAGCAAGTTAACAAATCTACTTTTAACGAAGCTTAAAATAAAAAGTTTGCAAAATAGTGTATGTATAGATTTATGTTCTGTTGTTGTTCATTTACTATAAACAAGTATATGAATTTGGAAATGGAAATTTAGTTCAAATGGAAATTTAGTTTAACGCCAATAGCAATTGTGATAAAGTAATTTAAGATCATTTAAAGTTTAGTCAAGCAAGCACCTGAAAATGGTCAACTTTTTGTTTAATATAGATTGCTGTTCCAAATACAAATTGCAGATATGATCCAATACTTTATGTCAAGCAAGGTTCAAATTTTAAACCAAACAAACTTACTATCTGTTGATCTTCTACTTTGTTTTGAAGTTATGAGTTTAGATAGATATGTAAAACATTTAGTTTACAATTTTTTTTATAGCTTTTAAGCTCAAACTAGTAACCAATGATGTAATTTAAAAGTTTTATTTTTAAAAATTTTATTTTGAAAGGAGAACAACATACATTATTAAATAAGCTATAATTTGAATGCGTATATTTAAATATAGGGAAGATCAATCAATCACCTCTTTATATGTTTATATAAATATATATATATATATTTTTTCTATATATGTAAGTTTTGATTTATATGTAAGTCTGTACAAAGATATAATTTTATATAGCTTTATATTTTATTAAAAGTATGTTTTAATTATATTTTAATATGTTTTAATTTATGTTTTTAATTTTTTTTTTTTTTTTTTTTTTTTTGATACAAAAGATGTTTTGTTCAAAGCAGATCAGCCAACCATATAAAGGACAGATAAAACTGACCCTCATCTCAGGCTTAAGGGTCAATTAATGAAATTTTTCAAAAGCTTCTTTTGAAGTATGCAACCCTGATGTCTTGATGGGCACAATCACATGGAAGTAATGTAATATTAAATTAAATATTAAAGCATAAAATTTGCATTTACTTTACTTTGCTCTAACATCAAGTAATAATAAAAGTCCCAAACCATATTCAATTAAAAATAGGTTTTTAACTTGTAAGTGAATCAAATTAAATTAAACATTTTATTTTTGTTTTTTTAGATGTTACATATAGTGTAATACAAAAGGGATAAAATAATATCAAACAAAGTTGCTTGGTAGGGTATACTGGATCCATCCACTACTTCTAAAAAATCTTTAAAAACCACTATATAAAATAAAAAACAAGAGAATAGTAAAAG